AAGGCCGCCGCGTATACCTCGTTCGACAAACATAACCATGTCAATGTCTGTTAATAATTCAAATTTTATATTCGTATGTTTTAACATGGCGTCCCATGTATATCCGGGGAGAGTATAATAATACGCGGGATCGAGTCCGTAACTTTTTATACAACTATCGCGAAAATTCTCAAATATATCGGCCAATAACAAGACATCAATTTTTAAATATAAATCGCTATATTCGCCTAGCGTTCGAAGGGAGAATCGGCTCCAGACGGTCTCGGCGTGCGCGTAATCACTCTCGGATACTGTGTCGCCGGTTAAGGAACTGTAAAATGAGTCGCGCGGCGGTAAACGTGTGTCTTGTAATCTGTCCACGCAGTCAATGTATTCGTACGGAAAGACGCCCTTCCGTGTCAATAAATTGAATTTTTCACTAGTTAAATTTTGATATTCCAAATGTAAAATTTTTAGTTTTTCTTTATCCAAAAATGACGCTAATTTGTCGAGACTAGCGCTGAGAAACTTGTACGAATCGATAAAGCGTAATTTAATATAATTTTTCGAATTATTATCTTGTGTCAATCTAACAGTCTTCGAGAATGAAATGTATTTTTCCTTTGTTATCGGCAGTAATTCGATTTCCCCTTCGAACGCTGTGGCTATGTCCTCGATAATAAAATGTGCGTCGTAGCCGGACAGATTGTGAAAGACTATAGGGATACAAAATGATTCTTTGTAATTTAAGTTACAATTTGAATGCGCAGGACCCCTGTACCGCCCGGTGAGGTGGCAATGATCGCGGACGCGTGTATCGTCTTCGTCAAACGGTTTTTCACAAATGTGACAATGCGTCGCGGTGCGAAATTTTAACCACTCGTCAGGCGTTAAATTTACCATGGGGACATTGGTCGTTAAAATATTTTTTACGCGAATTGCTAAATTTTTAAGCTGTTCGGCGAACCACGCAACGCAATCGACACTACGGCGGGAATTGTACGCGGACAACGAACTGTCGTACGAACACTGTACATAGTATGCGATGCTGAACACTTGATGGTGTTGATGATTTTTGGCATCTTCGGTCTTTGCCAAAACACACTCGAGGTCGGCGTACACTACAAACGGAAGCCGCTCCTTCCTCGTGTAATTGTCGAAGCTGAGCCACTTGTCATTCTCGCTCGGCAGCCGGATAGCGCAGTCGTTCAGTTTCCCGCAATCTTCCATATGCGCCTGCAATTTATCCACCGCTCCGAAATAATGTAGGCATCTGTAAAAATTAATAAATATTTAATGAAAATTTAATTAAAATATAATTTAAGTTTAATATATACTTACCGATCGCAGATATATTTTTTATGAGCTTTTTTGCTCAGTTGTGAGCTGACGAGGCGAGACAGATTTTTAATGCATGTGAAATGCCCGTGTTCGCCCTCCACGTACAGCAGATTAACGTGCCTGTCCTTCTTTTTTTCCGAAAGACGCAACGGGACGATGTTCTCGTTCTCGATGATGTACACATTCACGGAGATGTCGTTTGCAAGTTCAAACTTTTTAATTTGATTTATAGTTACTGGAAACTCAATGTTCTGAAGATTCAGCACTGTTGTGTAATGTGGATAAGAAGATTCTCGACCCGTGTTTCTTTCAGCAGGGTAAAGAGCGGCCACCACTGACCATGCGAAACACGCATTGTCCGCTGATTGCACATTAACCATCGCTCTCTTTGCCATAATTTTTTGCGGTAATTTGACATGACATCCCGCGCGCATTGGATTGTACTTATTTACATTCACTGTCAAATCTATTATCCGCGACAATGCCCAGCCGCTATCGCGTTCCTGGAACTCTTCTAGCGATGCTAGCGTGGGCTCGATTACGCGGCGCTCGTACCACTCGCGTACATCGGACGTGCGAAAGAGTTCAAAATTTCTCGTGTTAATACTTTTATTGGCGCGCTTGTCACCGGACACAAATTCACCGTTGAAAACAGTGTTCACTTTTACACTGATGTGTCTCTGCAGCACATTCTCCACGTTCTCGACTACAATGTCTGCGGCATTTCCCAAAAACTGACGCGGTTCGATGTGGTCTGCGTTAATTATCGCGCCGGTCAGTATACGGCTATCGAACGCCGTATCGATTTCGCGCCAAACGAGTTTTTGCGCGTTATTGCCGCCGCCACTGAATCCGCCGCCACTAGGCATGGATTCACCGACATACCGTCTCTGCAAGCGCACCTTTGCACCCTCGAGTCGCGCTATTCTCGCCACCAGAGATTGTCTATGTCCAATCGAGAGACGCGGACGCTTGGCACGGCTGCGTTCTTCCAGCTCTTCGATAAATTCTTCGCACTCTTGCAACCATCCGAAATATTCGCCCAAGTTAGCAACTTGGCGAGAACGCTCTAACAGGTTGCGCTCAACGTTCTTCATTTTTTGTAAAAAATTCACTTTTTCACACTTATTACAAAAAAAATTCTTTGCACACTAAACTTTTTTTCTTGCACCTCGAATGAAGCGTGCGCTCGCCAGTGGTACTATGGTCCGGCAGCTGCATCGGTCCTCATTATATATCCCGATCATCCCTTTGTTCGTGGGGATGATGATGCAATTGTTAATTCGCAAGAAATATTTGTGTGATATCTTCGGAGAAAATTTAGATATCGCTGATAATTCTTAGAAATACATAGATAAGGCCGCCCGTTACCTTTCATTTCACCCCGTCGGATCGACACGTCGGATCGGATTGACATGTCGCAACCTGTACGGATCAACCCGCTTGATTGTCGGCAAACCTTTTGTTCTTAGTAATTCGCAGAATTATCTTATCTTGTTTATGAAAACTTAGATATCCGATTGTCGGCGCTCGGCTTGGATTTTGCGGCAGCCATTCGCAGAATTTTTATCTTATCAAATTTAGATGAAGAAACGCAACCTTTTAGTAATAGATATCCGATTGTCGGCGCTCAGCCTGAAACGGCGGCAGCCATTCGCAGAATTTTTATCTTATCAAATTTAGATGAAGAAACGCAACCCTCTTAGTAATAGATATCCGATTGTCGGCGCTCAGCCTGAAACGGCGGCAGCCATTCGCAGAATTTTTATCTTATCAAATTTAGATGAAGAAACGCAACCCCCTTAGTAATAGATATCCGATTGTCGGCGCTCAGCCTGAAACGGCGGCAGCCATTCGCAGAATTTTTATCTTATCTGCAAACTTTGATACCTTACAAAGACGCCGCTTATCTTGGATTCGAAAACTTAGATACCGCTCAAAGACGCCGCTTATTTTTGATACCTTACAAAGACGCCGCTTATCTTATCTTGGATTTTCGGAGAAAATTTTATGAAAACTTAGATACCGCTCAAAGACGCCGCTTATCTTATCTTATCTTATGAACATATCAGGTAACATGATCCCCTTATCTTATTTTGTTTATAAATATATCAGGTAACATGATCCCCTTATCAGGTTATCTGATATGTTTATAAACAAAGATAAGCTTATCTACTGATAAGACCTCCTCCCCCCGCGTGACGTCACCCCCCTCGCCCCCGATTCCCCCCCGCCCCGCACCCCCCCTCATTGCCCCTGAGTTAGAGAACCGGCCTAGTATACCTACTGACTTTCGCTCTCTCGCCAGCTCTCTCTCTCTCTCTCTCTCTCTCTCTCTCTCTCGAGAAATAATGTTGCGTTTTCTTTTGCGTAAGGGGGATGCGACTTGTGCACCCGTTCCGCGTATTACCTTTATTTATATTTTTTGTTGTTTAGCGACTTTTGCGTTTTCGGCGAGCAATTTTACTTAGGGTTACGTGTCTCAACCGGAGAAGAAGAAAGAGAGAAAACGGAGAGGACAACTACGGATTGAGCAGAGGCCACCACGTCCGGATCACGTCCGGTAAATACCTTTTCACACACAGATTTTCGTAATTGCTCCTCAATTTAAGAACCAGGATACCGCCGTTAAATACTCCCTCTTCCACAGATTTTCCGGAAAAATACGGGGATGGCCTCTGTCGCGAGGCGCGAGAAAGCCCCGGAAACAAAAGTCGCGGGAGATGCACTACCTTGAGCTTTAACCTAGCCTGCTGTAAAAATTCGAGATCGATCAATCAATCTATCTGTCGGATTTTGGAGGAGCAGCAGAGACGGGACGTCCGGAGGTCTCTCCCCGACGAGAATTATAAAGAGGAACATCGGAATTAAAAGCGGGAGGACAGAGAAACGGCAAGGGAAATTATCATCGAGCGAACTCGCAAAACCCCGCGAGACGCCCGGCGGCCCTACCAGGATAAGAAGCTCCACGGGTGAAAAATGCCTAATTTATTATCGGCGTGATTCCGGCGGGCCCCTCGCTCATCACTGTCTGGCGAGACGTGGCTGAGCGCGGAGGTTCCCGATCACGGATGCCGAAGCAGTGACGAGTCCGCAGATACCGGTGAAACGAACAGACCTAATTGTAGAATCGCTAATTTTCGCGTAGATTGTTCGGAAGAGACACGTTCGCGGTCGGCTAATAATTATTAGAATTAGTCTTTTCAAAAGGTTAAGAGAAAATTTAAGAGTATTGCGCGTAGGATTTTGTCCCGGCGCCCGACTAACCGCGTGTTCTTTTCCGTGCGCACATTAAGAGAGGCTTTCTCTCTCCCGCGGATACGCCGACAGTTGCCGCAATTTTATTGTATCGATGTCTAGAAATAAAGTCTCGTACCCGTAGTTATTGTGCCGTCTCTCGTTTGTTAGAGTTTATAAATCTTAGTATGTAATCGTCCCTACAGTCGCGTATAAGATATATAGCGTATTCTTTTTTGCGCATGCAATTATTCGAGTATCCTTTCTATCTTTTGTGTAATTGTGCGGAGGACGTCCCGCGTAATAGATATCAGAAGTAAATCGCGCGGAATTTACTATAGTTTACGGGAGATTTCGTAGTGCCAAGGTTAGGAGAATCAATTACTTCGCACGAACCATATTAATCCTTGAGAGCCTTGTGCTACGCAGATGATGCAGTACTGATGGCCGAGAATGAGGACGACTTACAAAAACTACTCAACAAATTCAAAGCAACAGCAGAAAAGTTTAATATGCTCATATCCCGTAAAAAACCCCAGGCAATGGTGATCGCAAAAGAACCGATTAGATGCAAGCTAATGGTAAACGACCACATCGTCGAACAAGTAATGAGCTTTAATTATCTGAGAGTGGAAACATATAGTGACAGATACCTTCTGAACGAGGCAAGAACACAGACAAATAAGGCAGCCAGAATCGCAGGCTATCTCAGGGGCATAGTATGGAGGAACAAATATATGAGCACGAAGAGCAAGATCCGGATATACAAAACCTGCATTAAACTAGTACTCACCTATGCAGCAGAGACGAGAACTGAAACTTCGGGGACGAAAAGGATGATGAGGACAATGGAAATGAGGATACTGAGAACTATCAAGGGAGTTAGCCTCAGGAATAGAATAAGAAGTAACGATATACGGAGAGAGTTCGAATTATAAGACGTAGTGAGATGGACGAGAGCACGGCGTCGATTTTGGAGAGATCACGTTGATAGGATGAGCCCAGAACAACTACCAAACTGAGCAAAAACACGAAAACCAAATACCAGACGGGCCATAGGAAGACCACCTAAACGGTGGTACGAATGTTGGACCTCAGGATCACAGGAGGGAAATGCCAGTGGAACCGACAGGACTTAGTCCTACTACACGAAAAAGAAGAACCATATTAAGTCTCGTGCATTAACAAGTATTCGCCACGTATATGGGCAAATTTGCTCCCGGGTCCCGCGTGTAACCTGATATCTCCACGTCGGGTCGTCACAAAGTCGCAGAATCATAACACCGCGCCGCGCGTTAACCGTACTTTCGCCGTACAGTATCTTTACAAATGTAATATACGATTTCGATTTTTTTGTAGTTCGGCGTCATATAAAATTCTCCGCCCGCAATGAACGACAAGTACGCAGATCTCAATTTTTATCTTGTCTGACGGGATTTTGTTTTTTTGTATATACAAGATTACCCCAAACATTTATTTTTTTTTTTCGTTATCCATTTGCTTCATTGATACAATATATTCTATTAATATTACATTTAGGTGATTCTAAATAGCCACTCTCGAACTTTGTTTTCTCTCCCGTCCAAACTCCCTTCTCTACCCCATGACGCTCTGAGCGAGTCGAGTATTGCCGTCGCGAAAATTTTCGGGACGTTTTAAGATTTTCGCAAGTTCTCTCCCTATTTGTGAATTTTCAGAGTGGCGCGAATCTTGCGCCATGCGCCCAGGCATACGAAAATTTATTGTGTCTCCGCGAATCTCCCGCTTTCCGCGTCGAAGGTGTGCCGTCGGCCAACCACATCGGCCCTACTTTTCGGATACTTATCCGACTGTACAAAAATATTTACGGTTACAATATAGCTCATTCATTCAAGTTTATTCCGGACTCCCCTAGAAGTTGCCGGGGCGTTTTCAAGGGACCGCCAAACCCCTTACATCCTCCTTTTCTCGTTACAATATGTTACATATGCGGTGCTTTTTTCTGATAGAAGCGTTCCCGAACCTTTATAATCTTTCTCTAACCACTCACAATTCCATATCAATTCCCTGTGGCGCTTTTTTTTGATAGGAGCGTTCCCAAACCTCTACAGTTCCTTTTATTCTATTCACACCTTTTTTCCCTTTTCCTCCTTTTTCCACCTTCTTACTTCTCGTCTCCAAATCCTCTCCTTCCCTTTTTCCACTTTCTTCTTCTCCTTCCAGCCGAACCTGCCTCCCTCTTTTTCCTCACTTCTCCATTTCCTCTTTCATCACCTTTTTCTTGGCAGGCATGTGGGGTGATTGGCTCAAATTGAATTCGAACCTGAGACCTTAAGTAGTCTTCCGACTTAACCCACTGGTCTACCATTTCACTCTTTACGGTTATAATATATATATTTTTTTACTTAATATAAGATATACTTATAATTTAAAAAGGAACAATAGGTAAGGACATTTTAATCTAAAATAAATAACACAGATTTTATATAAAATATTTTTTAATTTAAAAATATGTATAAATTTACATTTGTGCAATTGGCGCGCGAAAAGTCGCCCTTTCCACACATAATGGGATTTTAGAAAGAGCTCCCTTTCCACGTATCGGTCACACAAAATATCGTAGCCAACATGTGCGGGTCATAAATCGGCCGATCGTGCGGATTGTCACACTCGGCTTCGTCTCGTGCGCCAAACTTCCGTACTCTCGGCCGATTTACGATCCCCCGCACTTGTTAGCTAATATACTATTGTGTGTATGTGTGCGTATAAATTTAAAAAATATATAATATAAAAGATAAAATATAATATATGCAATATATAGAAATATATAAAATATAAAAATTAAAATATAAAATATAAGATATGCAATATACAGAAATATATAAAATATAAAATATAATAAATAGGTATATAAGGGGAGTTCTAACCCAGATCTTCTGAGGGGGGTGCGGGGCGAGGGGGACCTGCGGCGCGAGAAATGACGTCACGCGGGGAGGGGAATCCGCGAGTTCTAGGGTCCGCGAAAAAAAGGATCCGCGAGTTTAAGGTCTGCGGGAGGGAAAGAGGAGCGACAAGATGATGCTCCGCGAGAGAAAAATGATGACAATGCTAATCCTAAGATGCTTTAATATATGTATATATATATTTTTTTTACTTATATAAGATATACTTATAATTTAAAAGAGGTAAAAAGAGAGTTTAATCCTAAAATAATTACACAATATATATATATATATATAATATATAAATATTATCAGCGATATCTAAGTTTTCGAATCCAAGATAAGATAGCGCAAATATTTCTCGCGAATTAACAATTGCATCATACGTTGAAGAACAAAGGGATGATCGGGATATATAATGAGGACCGATGCCGATGCCGGGCCATAGTACGGTGACCACGAGAGCGCATGCTTTCCTCAAGGAAAAATAGCTGTGAGAAAAAAGTTTAGTGTGCAATTAAAATAGTTATTTCTGTGCAGTACAAGTGAATTTTTTACAAAAATGGAGAACGCAGAACATATTGAGCGCGGCCTGTTGGAGCGTTCCCGCCAAGTCGCCACCTTGGGCGAATATTTCGGATGGCTGCAAGATTGTAAAGAATTTATCACACAGCTGGAAGAACGCAACCGTGCCAAGCGTCCGCGTCTCTCGATTGGACATAGGCAATCTCTCGTGGCGAGAATAGCGCGACTCGAGGGTGCAAAGGTGCGCTTGCAGAGACAGTATGTCGGTGAATCCATGTTTAGTGGTGGATTTAGTGGCGGCGGCAATAACGCGCAAAGACTCGTTTGGCGCGAAATCGATACGGCGTTCGATAGCCGTATACTTACCAGTGCGATAATTAACGCAGACTACATCGAACCGCGTCAGTTTTTGGAAAATGCAGCAAACATTGTAGTCGAAAACGTGGAGAATGTGCTGCAGAGACACATCAGTGTAAAAGTGAACACTGTTTTTAACGGCGAATTTGTGTCCGGTGACAAGCGTGTCAATAAAAGTATCAACACGAGAAACTTTGAACTCTTTCGCACGTCCGATGTACGCGAGTGGTACGAGCGCCGCGTAATCGAGCCCACGCTAGCATCGCTAGAAGAGTTCCAGGAACGCGATAGCGGCTGGGCATTATCGCGGATAATAGATTTGACTGTGAATATCAACAAGTATTATATAATCCAATGCGCGCTGGATGCCATGTCAAATTACCGCAAAAAATTATGGTAAAAAGAGCGGTTGTTAATGTGCGATCAGCGGACAATGCGTGTTTCGCATCGTCAGTGATAGTCGCTCTGTACCCCGCTGAAAGACATATGGAACGAGAATCCTCCTATCCGCATTACACCACAGTGCTAAATCTCCAAAACATTGAGTTTCCAGTGACTGTGAATCAAATTAAAAAATTCGAACTGGCAAACGACATCTCCGTAAACGTGTACATTATCGAGAACGAGAACATCGTCCCGCTACGTCTTTCGGAAAAAAAGAAAGACAGACACGTCAATCTGCTATACGTGGAAGATGAAAACAGCGTCGGGCATTTTGTTTTGATAAAAAATCTGTCTCGCCTCATGAGCTCACAACTGAGCAAACACAAATGTAGAAAATTTATTTGCGATCGGTAAGTATATATATATATATTTATTACACGTAAATTATATTAAAAATAATTTTAAATAAATTTTTTTATTTTTTTACAGATGCCTACATTATTTCTATTCTGAGGATAAATTGCAGACGCATACGGAAGATTGCGGAAAACTAAACGACTGCGCTATTCGGTTGCCGAGCGACAAGGACAAGTGGCTCAGCTTCGACAACTACACGAGGAAGAAGCGGCTGCCGTTTGTGGTGTACGCCGACCTCGAGTGTGTTTTGACAAAGACCGAAGATGTCAAAAATTATCAACACCATCAAGTATTCAGCATCGCGTATTACGTACAGTGTTCGTATGACAGTTCGTTGTCCACATACAATTTCCGCCGTAGTGTCGATTGCGTCGCGTGGTTCGCCAAACAGCTTAAAAATTTAGCAATCTGCGTAAAAAATATTTTAACGACCAATGTCCCCATGATAAATTTAACGCCTGACGAGTGGGCAAAATTTCGCAGCGCAACACATTGTCATATATGCGAAAAACCGTTTGACGAAGACGATACACGCGTTCGCGATCATTGCCATCTCACCGGGCGGTACAGAGGCCCCGCGCACTCAAATTGTAACTTAAATTACAAAGAATTATTTTGTATCCCTATAGTCTTTCACAATCTGTCCGGCTACGACGCGCATTTCATTATCAAGGACATAGCCACAGCGTTCAAAGGAGAAATCGAATTACTGCCGATAACGAAGGAAAAATACATATCATTCTCGAAAACTGTTAGATTGACACAAGATAATAATTCGAAAAATTATATTAAATTACGCTTTATCGATTCGTACAAGTTTCTCAGCGCTAGTCTCGACAAATTAGCGTCATTTTTGGATAAAGATAAACTAAAAATTTTACATTCGAAATATCAAAATTTAACTAGTGAAAAATTCAATTTATTGACACGAAAGAGTGTCTTTCCATACGAATACATTGACTGCGTGGACAGATTACAAGACACACGTTTACCGCCGCGCGACTCATTTTACAGTTCCCTGACCGGCGACACAGTATCCGAGAGTGATTACGCGCACGCCGAGACCGTCTGGAGCCGATTTTCCCTTCGAACGCTAGGCGAATATAGCGATTTATATTTAAAAATTGATGTCTTGTTATTGGCAGACATATTTGAGAATTTTCGCGATAGTTGTATAAAAAGTTATGGACTCGATCCCGCGTATTATTATACTCTCCCCGGATATACATGGGACGCCATGTTAAAACATACAGATATAAAATTTGAATTATTAACAGACATTGACATGGTTATGTTTGTCGAACGGGGTATACGCGGCGGCCTTAGTCAATGTT